TGCCCTCCTGTCACCAGGCAGGGGCACAGCCAAGGTGCTGGCGAGGGAGCCTCTAGGGGACAGTGTCCTCCACAGTGGTCTCTGACAGCCCGCCCTCCCTCCCCAGCGCTCCCTCAACTGCAACAACACCTACAGCGAGGGGCCCGACATGCTCCGCACAGCCCTGGGCGAGTCCACCGCTTCACTGGACAGCACCAGCAGGTCAGGCTGCTGCCCGTTGTCATCTTGGGGTGCAGTGGGGCCAACTCTGTGGCCTGGCCTGCAGGGAAGGTCCCAGCCACGCGCCCTGATGTGGAGACTCTTCATTTGTCTGTGTTGTTACCATTGATCAAAATGTAGCTGGGGCAGTTTGGGGGAATCTTCCAGAACCCCAAGTGGCCATGATGTGCAGGCAGAAAGTGCTCGGTCACATCAGGGCCTGTCATCTATTCCACTGAGCAAGTGCTGAGCCTGCGCTTCTCTCTAGGGATGAAGGGGTCCAGAAGCTCAGCGTGTCCTCCGGGCCTGCACGTGGTGGCCATGGGGAATTGGATTCCTCCTTCAACCCCAGGAGCTCTAAGAAACCTCATGGTATGGCTTCCCCTGATGGCTGCAGGGGCCCAGGCCGCTCTCATGTGTCCACATCCCCATAGCCAGTGGAGGACATGCCTTGGAGGAAGCACAGGTGGCCTGCTTACCTGAGCCTCGATGCCCGCCCACCCCACAGGCCCCGACTCGGACTCGGACAGTGAGCTATCGCTGGACGAGCAGAGCAGCTCCTATGCCTCCTCACGCTCGTCAGACAGCGAGGATGATGGCGGGGAGGCCGAGGACACATGGGCCCCGGCGCAGGGCCCTGTCCACAGCACCCCCAAAGGTGAGTGGTGAGGGCATGGCCGGCCAGGCAGGCCTCGGTGGCTGTGTGCCCAGCAGAGCTGCAGCTGTGCACGGCACGTGGCAACTGGCCCTCGGAGGCCCCATCTTCTGGCCGGCCACACCCTGCAATCCTAGGGCTCTGCAGATGGTCAGCGCGGCCAGGTGGGGCCTCCAGAGTAGCCACTGCGTGGCTAGGTGTCCGGGCAGTGGGGAGCATGGCCAGGGCCCTCACATCAGGACTTTCCTTTGGGCCTGTTCCCCTCTTTGGGAGGCAGCCCTGCCAGGCCTGTGGGTGGAGGGTCAGGGCCACCCTGGGGGCTTGCCAGGCTTGGGATGCCCAGTGCCGTGTCACCCGTCTCAGCGGATGCCCTGGCCAACCACGTCCCAGCTGGCTGGCCTGATGCGAGCCCCGCAGGCAGCGACAGTGAGGAGGTGGGCACTGAGCCCCACCTGAAGGTGGAGACCAAGGTCAGCGTGGAGCTGCACCGGCAGGAGCAGGGCGACCGCTGCAGCACCCAGCCTCCAGACCGGCCATCCGTGCCCAGCAGCCAGCCCCCAGAACAGAGGAAAGGTGCCCAGGAGGGAGGCCTACCACGGGACTTGTCCCTTGCCAGCTGGTGGGGACAGGGCAGGGGCCTTATGTAGCAAGGTGGTGGGATCTTGTGGGGCATGGGCGGGGCGTAGGCAGATCAGAGAGGACTCTGAACTAGAGGAGGCACAGGTGTGACCCTGTCGGGCCTCCCTCCTCCCAGGCATCTTGAAAAACAAAGTCGCCTACCCACCACCACTGCCGGGACCCCCACTGAAGTGCCGGCTGCGGGAAAAGCTGGCCGACTGTGAGCAGAGCCCCGCATCCTCGCGTACGTCCTCCCTGGGCTCTGGCGATGGGGTCCGTGCCCCCGACTGTGTAATCACCATCAAGACCCCCGGGAGGGAGCCAGGCCGCGAGCATCTGAATGGGGTGGCCATGAACGTGCGTGTGGGGAGTGCCCAGGCTGAAGGCTCCGACTCTGAGTGAGTAGTATTGGCCTCCAGGGCTGGGGTCAGGGTGGGGGCCGCCAGCTCTCCCCTCGTCCAGGACCCATGCAGGCCCCAGGTGTCTATTCCTGAACTGGAGAAGTTCTGCCCCCACTGACTTTTGATCCCACCCAGCTGCCACCCTCACTGACCCACCACCCGCCTGATGGCTTCTTCCACACGCAGAGGCAGTAATGAAACTTCAATTTGAACCATCAGGAAACCATGAGGCAAGCCTGTCACCCCATACAGGCCACCACCATCCTGCCTTGGAGCCCGAAGGGCTGCTGCCTCCAGAATGAAGTGGGCCCTGGGTATGAGGGTCCCTGCAGAAGCAGCTCCACATCGGACGGTCCAAACACGAAGCCCTTGGCTCTCCCATGGACTCAGGGCCTGTCAGACCCAGTGACAAGTGCCAAAGCCACTGGCATGTTTCAAGGGAGATGTTGACCCTGGGCCAACACAGCTGGGTCCTCAGCCTGCACAGAGTCAAAATCATGCTTCTGGCCTGTGCGGGAGGCCCAGCTGGCCTGTGGGCTCAGCAGGGTTTGCAGGTACTGAGCAGACTGAGGGCTACATGGGCATGGCTTGCAGTCTCAGCAGCCTCGGGCAAAGGCACCTGTCTCCAAGCAGATTGCTTTGCTCTGTTGAAAAGGAGGAAATACTGTTGTATATTTGACCTGAACTTGAAGACAAAAAAACCTGTGTATAATTTGCATTTGGGCTGGTTGTTACTGGGAAGTCTGTGGAAGGATCTCTTACCATTTTCGTACGAGGAGGACTTCACAGTTGGACTTGAATCTGGAGCTGCTGCCACAGCTGGCATCCCCACATCAGAGGTGATGTGTTCCTGCGGGGGCTACAGTCTTCCAAGTTCCTGCACCTGCTTTCAGCCAGTGAGCAAGGAGGCCTGGGACTACTGCTGGTCTCCAGAATCCACAGCATGTGCTGTCTCAGTTCCTCACCCCACACATGCGGCCCCACAGGGCCATCTGGGACCCGCCACTCAAGGGGCCTTTTGTGGTCAGTGTGGACTGTGGCTGCCACACTGATCTCACACCCCCACCACACCCCCATGCCTGGCCCCCTCCAGGCCCAGGGGGCCCGGAGCCTGGTACTGCAGGCAGGGAATTCCTTTGTTCCTGACTCTTGCTCCCGGTGTGATCTTGAAGCATTCACACAACCCAATTCAAAGGAGCTGCAGGGTCTCCAGGACATCATGTCCTCCTGCCAACATCCTGGCTCCTTTAGATTCTGGGCAGGCTGGGGTGCCATCCCCAGAGTCTGGCCAGTTACATCATTTTGCTTCAAGTGGTCAATGGTGCAGAGGGACAAAGCTGCAGCACTCTTTCCAATGACCACCAAGCTGTTTTTGGAAACTCACGCGAAGCCCTGTGATTGTCCCTGAGAGCCAGGGCACAGCACGGCCCGAGGGGCTGTGGAGCAGGCCCAGAGTCCTTCAGATGCATCTTATTTCAGCATGGCCTCTGATCTAAAATCAGGTGCCCAAGCAGGTGGTCGGCACAGCTGCTTCCAGGTGTGACAAGCCACTGGTCAGTGAGAGGCGGATTCTGTGCGGGCAGTGCACGTCCTCAACCTACACACCCAGCGGGGCATGGGGACCTCGTGCAGGCCTCTGGGGGAGGGAAGGGGCGTTGTGTCCCTGCTGCCCCAGCTGCCTGTCGCCCCTGGAGGTGTAGTTTTTAATTTGATCAAAATTGTTACCAAAAAAAAAAAAAAAAAAAAAGTCATTTTAACAAGACAGGAAAAATGTAAACCTATTTTCATGAGTAAGACTCTGAGAGATCAGACACTGGAGGTTTTAACACGTGTATTTATTAATGTCAAACACTGGAATGACAACGCAAATGAGAAGAGTCTACAGTACATTCAGATGTCTGAGTCTGTTCCTCAGCTGTGCGGGGCTGCCCTGCTGCCCTTCCCAAGGTGGTGTGAAGGGCACCTCAGGCTCCCTCCTGGGAAGCGGGTGGCAGGTCTCACTGGGTTTCTTGAGAGTCGGTCTGTGCCACCAAAGCTGAGAAGTCTGAGTTGTTCCTGCCCCATCTCCCCTCCTCTCCTGGTGCCCGGCCTCCGGTGCACCCGTCCCTCAGGCCTCCTTCACGGCTCACGTTCCTCTCCCGTTCTGGAGTTGATCGTCCTGGTCCTTCCGCCTCATCACTGAGCGTGTCCTTTTGTCTTTACTTCAACACTGTCGCCTGCAGTTCTTCACGTTCCTGGTTCCTGTCCACACTTGGCCTTCTCTCCACTGGGCCCTGCGGTTGCCAGCACTTGCCTTTTCCTCCTGGGGCACCTCAGGAGCACTGCTCCACCTTGCTAGTGTGAGCTCTGTCACCTTAAGGCTGTAATCTGTCCCCTGTCTTTCACTGGTGTCCCCGAGCCTGTGGCTCAGTGATTTCAGGGGAACCCTGCATCAGCACTGGGTCATGCTGGGCTCTGGGCCGGCTGGAGGCCTGAAGCAGCCTGGTCAGGTTCCTGCCAGTCCCACCTGCCCTGAGGGGTTGGTGCCAGCTCCAGAGCCAGGGCCTTGGGTCTGCTGGTGTCCAGCCGGGGGCCCTGGGGCCTGTGCTGGGCTGCTTCTCCAGTCCTCACCCCGCTGGGACCCACCTCACTCCTCTTTGCCCAAAAAGACGGGTTTCTCCCCGAGTCTCAGCCACCTGCACTGTCTCACAATCTGCCCCCTCGGCCCCCAGGCCTCTCCCAGGTCCTGGCCCAGGGCCCAGAGCCCAGAGAGGAAAGTGACCCATAAGAGCGCCACACCAAAGGCTGCCCAAGTGCTGCCTCCCCGACGCCCTGTGCGTGGACTTCTAAAGCCCCGCAGCCCAAAGCCATGCTCACCAGGAAAGCACCGGGTTCTGCTGGAAGTGGGCCCTGCAGGGCAAGGGGCTCTGTGTGCTTCCCCTGTGGACTTCTGGGCTTCAGCAGACCTAAGGTGGACGGCTCTCTGCCTTCCCAAGGCATAGAGCTCAGGCCCCAGAGGGAGGCCAGGCCATCTCTCGGGCCCTTCCCTTGCTGTCCATCTGCCTTCCATTCCATCAGCTGCCAGTGATGAGCCCCTGGACAGCCCACCCAGGCCCCCCAGCCCCTGGACACAGTGGTCAGACTCCTCATCCCAGTTGGACTTTTTATTCAATGCCGTCCCTGCAGTGTTCTTCCAGGGCAACTGTCCCAGGGGGTGAGCATGAAGGAGACTGAACAGGGCCTCGGGGCTGACCCACTGGCCATCGGATGCTTCTGTTGCTGGTTTCAGCACCTTCCTGGGGCTGCCCCTGGTCCAGGCAGCACTGAGTCCATCACTGCCCTGCCCTGCCCTGCCCCAGCTACGCTGCTCAGCCCCAGGCTCTGCTGTCACAGGGTCCTCCTGTGGCTCGGCTTCTGTCAGGGTGTGGGGCACGGGCCTGGATCTTTGCTGGGTCCCTCACTGGAACCCTCAGGAGCCACTCTGGCTCTGCTCCTGCCCTTCTGGAGTGTGTAGGCCGACGGCCCCAAGCGCAGGATCTTCCCACTGCCCAGGCACTCATCCCCCTTGTAGAACACGGCAAACTGCAAAAGAGAAGCCTCAATGTGGGAGTGCGACTCGGACCTGTGGGGCTGAAGGGCGGGAGCCCAGGGAGGGCTGCCAGGTCAGTGCTTCAGCTCTCCAGAGCAGAGCCACAGGCACGTGACCACAGTGGATAGCAATGACGAGTGCCTGTCCAGCCGTCCTGCTGGGTGTCCCTGTAGTCCCCCCGCCCCTGCACCCGACTCACCTGCCCCAGGGCGAGGGCCCGCACAGCCTTCACAGCAGTCACCCACACGGTGCCGTCCTGATTGAGGGTCAGCACACAGGGCACTGGGTGGAGAGAGGGGCCTTGAAACCCCTCTGCCAGGGCAGGGTAGGACAGCAGTCTTCAGACATGGCAGGGCATGACAACATACCATCTGCGCAGCCCCCCTCACCCCAGGCCCCTCTATGGCAAACACAGGTCAAGGGAGTTTTGAAAGATCACATCGTCTCAACATGAGGGACTTTCCTGCCCAAGGGGCTCTGGCCCAAGTCTGACCCCAGGGACCTCAGCTCCAAGAAGCCTCCCTAGCCCCTCCCACCTAATCACCTAGCGCCATCTGGTGGCGGAATCGGAAGTGGCACTCCATCATCTTATCCCGGACCAGGGGGGCAGGTGGCTCCTCTGCAATCCAGTGCACACGGCTGGTCCTCAGCAGGTCCCGGTATAGGGCTGGGTGGTCTGTCCGGGGGGCCTGCGGAGGAGTGAAAGCTGTGACGCCTTCTAGCCCTCAGAAGACAGCCCGGAAGCCCGAAGCCCACCTCACTGGCACCTAACAGCGAAGGAGCACAGACTGGTGACAGGCAGCGGCCTGGTCCCTGGTGTCTCACTGAATCATCCATTGTGTAGTTGGGGAAGCTAAGGCACAGGAGGGAAGGGAACCTGCCATGTGGCAGGTGACAAGAGGCGGGGGCGAGACCTGAGCCCAGGTCCAGGCACTCTCCTCCCTGAAGCCCAGGCCCTGCCCTCCACCTCTATGAGGACTGGTTTTCTGTTTCCAGGGACATCGGCCAGTCACACCACTGGCCTTTCAAGGAAAGCAGGGCCTGGAGCAAGCCCAGGGCTGTGTTCACACCAGGGTCCGGCCCTGAGGCTCTCCGAGGAGTAGGCCATGCCCACACCTAGGGCAGGACCAGGAGCACCAGGTCCAGGGGCTTGGGTCCTCTGCAGGTACTGAGGCCACACAGGCCTCCACAGCAGACTCCCAGGGAATGTTCACTGCCGCCCCCACCTGCCAGGCTCCCCACACACAGCTCTTCCTGGAGGGGGGTGTCTTGGCTGGCAGGTGAGGTCTCCTGGCCTCTTGAGCTGCCACCAAGAGAAGGCCCCCAGCATTCACGACAGCAAGAGCAAGTTTTCTATTAGGCAAGGGGGATGTCCTGTGCTCCTCAGGCTATTCAGCAATGTCCATGGCCTTATCCACTGGATGCCAGCAGACTTGGCCCCCACACTGAAACTGTGACAACCCAAAGCATCTCCAGACTTTGCCAATGGCCCCCATGGGGGTGGGGGATGCATGCCCCTTGAGAAACTCTGCTCTGCAGCCGGGGCAGCAAGCCAAGGCCGGGACGGCTCAAGGCCCAGCATGGCAGATAGCCTGGCTTGTCCTGGCTCAGCCACTGGTTTCTGCCCCACGAGGACCTCCGGGCTCCTACCACCGCAGCACCGTGGCTTCCTCCTCCTCTCCACGTGACCTTCACCAGTCACTTATCTGTGTGTCCTCCTTGTTCATAAAATCAGATGAGCCGCTAAGCAGCATGCAGTGACTTGAAGAGTGACCCGCACACAGCAGGAGCCTAGTACCCACCAGGCCAGGACCCTCTGTCCGGGGCAGCCCCAGGAGGCTGCGGAGTGTAGGCGAGGCCTGTGCCCAAGGCGAGCCCTACTCCTGGCCCCCCACTCACCACGAGCACGTCACCCTTGGCAGCGTCCTTCTCCACCACGTACCAGGGCTCCCTCAGGCCGCTGATCTTAGCTCTCTGGCCCAGGGTGTACAGGAACCAACCTACAGACAGGTTCTCGTGAGGTCCGGGGAGGAGGTCCTGGTGGAGGCAGCAGGTGGCTCCAGGGCGACCCCAGACATGGCTGCAGTGACCAGGGTCCACTCAAAAGCCGTGATCCTCCAGCCTCCAGAGCCAGCCCTGGGCTGGACACAAGGACTATGACCGTGGCAGAGACCACACCTCTCACCTGGCATGAGGAGCAGGGCCAGCTCCTGTGAGATGTCTGAGGTGTGGCCCTGCCTGTTAAGCCCTGGTGCGCCTGCAGCTTTTACAGGTAGGTCCAGCGTGGCCTGTGAGCGCACCACCTGCTTCAGGGCTGACCAGCTCTCTCCACATCCCACTCCACCCATCACAGGGTCCCCAGCTCTCCTGTGCCTCCTCTGGAATGCATGCATGCAGTCAGAGGTGACCTGACGAGACCTGCCACCACACACCAGGCGCAGATTTAAGACACGAGCCTCCAGCTGCCTGCTACGGGAGATGGCAGCTCTGTCCCTGGCAATGTCATTTCTCGGGCTCCCTGCTCAGCTGTGCCTCTCCCTCCACAGGAAGTGGGGGTTCTCCAAAGCACAATTCAGAGACCCCCCCACATCAGAGCATGGCCCAATCCTCCCAGCCAGGGCAGGACTGTGCTGGGCCAAGACTCACCTCGGTGTCCTGCCCTAGGGGCCACATCCCCATCAGCCCACACTGTCCATCCCTGCACCAGGACCGTGAGCACCTGTGCCCCTATGCCCAGCCCAGTGCAGGTCACAGTGGCCCTGCGCCATGAATGTCAGCAAATGTGGGCAGCACCCCTGCCAGAGGACACCTTACCCTGTCCACACATCCAGCTATGATGACCAAACTCCTTCAGCAGAGTGGAGTTTCTACAGTTTCACATTTTCCTTGTTCAGTGAGAAACATACTCTACCTACAGGGACTTGATTCACAGCGGAGACTGAAGCCCCCATTAGGTGGCAGCTTTTTGTCAAATCCAAAGCTCAGGAGGAGACACCATGATAACGTGCACACAGCCCCAGACAGACTGCCCTGGGCCACCACACTTACCCAAACCTGCCCCCAGGCCTTCTGGGACTCCTTGGAAAGGTGGAAGGGACCAAGCCACCTTGTTCCCACTTCCCAGAGCCAGCACGCACCCATGGCTGGAGGAGCTTTAGGGAAGGGGCCAGGACTACAACTCACCTTTATGTGTTCCCAGAACTGAATTGTCCTCAATAGAAATAAATTTCCCAGGTCGAGGCTGCAAATACTGGAAGACAAACATCTCATTACTAATGGAGATCCAGGGCTGGAGCAGCCGCACAACCTATCAAAGAACACTCACCTGAAGAATGAAATGCTCAAAGTTTCTTTTACCGACGAAACAGATCCCCATGCTCTGAAACGAGAGGAGGGTGGCAGATGAGGAGTTGGCAGGAGATGAGCAGATGGCAGGAGGTCTCCTGTGCTAGGAGGCCTGGGCCAGGGAGAGGGAGAAACCAGGGCTGCCCCGGCCTCCCACCAAATACACTTCTGGGCCAGGGCCTGAGGGCCTCCTCCAGCGCCCTCAGACACCAGGCACACCCTGCAAGCAGAGCTTCAGGGCTTCACGGATGTCTGTCTCAGGCCGCTGAGTCCAGGTCCCCTAGATGCAGACACTGCATGTGCCCAGGGCCTACCCAGTGCTACACAACATCTTGAGCTGCCCCAGGAAAGAGAACTAAGTCCAGCCCTCAGGAGACACTGGAGCAGGGCTGGAGCTAGAGCGAGGCTAGGGCCCAAGCAGAGGGAACAGGGAGGCCAGGGAAGACTCGTCAGGGGCCGGCTGTTCCCTGCACAGGAGGCCAGGCGGGAGGAGGCTACTTCCCTTGGCAAGTGGAGTCAGCATTGATGCTTTGGCTCATGTCCCTCCAGAACATGGGCCCAGGAAGGTACGGCCTGCCTCACGAGTCTCAGCAACGCCCTCCGCTCCCACCATGGAGCAATTACTGGAAACTGAACAACAGAGGAGCGAAGGCCAGAGGGAAGGGGTGTCCTCTGGGGAGGATGCCTGCTACCCATTCCTGAGAATCAGGCATGAGTGGTGGCTACAGCTGAAGCGCCTCTGACCTCTGAAGAGGGCAGGCTCAGCAGTCAGGAGGTCTGTGGGCTCGGAAGGCTGACCCTGCAGCAACCTCGCCTCACCACTGAGCCCCTGGCATATGACTTCACCCCATTCATGCCATCACGCCGGCCCCCTTACCCAGGGCCTTTGCACAAGTTCTTCCCTCCACGTGGATTTTCTCACTAATCTCACCTGTGCTTTGCCCTGAAGTTACATGTGATTTCCCCAGGGTCCTTTCTTGGCACCTCTGCCCCTAGCTAACCGGCACCCCAGAGGTCCTCGCAGGATCTCAGCCCTTCCGCCACAGATGCCCGCTAGGTTTACAACAACACATCTCACATCTCTCTCTCCCTTTCTCAACTGTAAACTTGGGCAAGGCAGAAATGGAGCTGTTTGCCCGTCACCATCTCCTCAGGCTTTAGCAGCACAGGGCCTGGCACAAAAGCAGCATGAGATGTGCCAGGGTGAAAGGGCAGCTTCGTGTACAGACGGCAGCAGGGCTCCTGCCAAATCGGAGGGCCCAGGGAGGGAGGGGAGCCGGTGCAGCCTCTGCCGCACACCACAGTGCTCAGGCCTGCTCCCAGGGGCTCCGCCTGATGCTGGAGGCCAGGTTAGGGAACCCACAGCTACCACGTCACCCTGTGCTGCGGCCAGAGTGGATGCGGTGTGCCTGAGTCAGAGGCCAACTGTCACACCTACCTCTTTCTTCTGGAGCACATGATGGAGTCTATTCTCAGCAGCTATTTTCTTTACAAAATCCTTCGTTAATCCCCCTAGAGGGAAGATGGTTCTTCTCAGGGCATCCTGGGAAACCTGGCTGAGAAAGAAGGTCTGGTCTTTAAAGCTGTCAGCTGCTTGGAGAAGTTTTACCGCTGCCAAGAGTAAAGAACAAAAGATATTGCAGGAATGAAAATGATGATACTTTGCCTTTAGCCCTATCTTTTTGCTCACTTGTCCCTGGACGGTGGGAGCAGAAGCCGACCCCACAGCAGACCACTGGGGGAGCTGCCAGCGGGGCCCATGTGGGGAGGACTCTCGCCTCTTATTTATCTACCGTAAGAAAACACAGGGCAGGCAGATTTTATATTATGGGACATTTATTCCAGTTCACAATTTAGACTGTAGAGTTCCAAAGATAAAACAGCTTGTGAAAACCACGAAGTGAAAAGGGGAAAACACAAGCCCCAAATAAGTTCAGCCACAAACAGGCATCTGGGCAGGAGAACAGCAGGTTGGCTTCCCACCCTGGTGCCTGGTGGGACAGCAAAGGGCGCTCCTGGGCCACACCCGCTTCCTGCTCAAGGGCCCTGTCTGGAGGCCACACTGACCTCACAGCTGCTGTGTTGTTTCCCAAACATGCTCCATTTCACCGTAAGGAACAGCGCTAGCACTTCAGCAGCTGTGCAAAGGCATGAGTGACCCTGGCCCTCCAGCAAGGGAGCTACCGACTGCCCATCCCACCCAGGGACCCAACCCATGGAACTCATCAGAACAATGACCTCACTCTCCTTTCACCCTCTCACCTCTGGGGCTCAGCAACACCCCAGGTTACAGGCAGAGCTTGCCATGCACACGATAGGCTTCAGCAACACTGTGGGCTTTATTTATTTATTTGTTTGTTCGTTTATTTATTTATTTATTGGGGGGGGGGTACTGGGGATTGACCCCAGGGGCACTTAACCACTGAGCCACATCCCCAGCCCTTTTTATTTTTTATTTTAAGACAGGGTCTTGCTAAGTTGCTAAGGCTTTGGTAAGTTGCAGAGGCTGGCTTTGAACTCGCATCCTCCTGCCTCAGCCTCCCAAGCAGCTGGGATGACAGATACACACCTCCCAAACCATGCAGGCTTTATGTCAGCACAGCGGTGTGGGCAGTGTGGTATCTGTGTGGCTCACATTTCCACCCGCCAATCACACATTAGCCTGCGGTAGAATCGTCCCCATTTAACAGTTAAGCAAACCAATGTTCAGAAAACTGAAGCTTCTGCTTCTATCCCAGAGTGACACAGCAGAGAAGGCAGAGCCAGAAACAGCCCGTCTCCTGACCTCTGTCCCCACTGTGAGCACCAAATACCACAACCAGCCCAAACAAAACCTGCCCCACTGACAGACGGGAGCAGATTCATGTCTCAATTTCTTACTGTTTCAAAACAAAATTCTGTCAAATATTTTGAGTGCAAAGGCCTCCAATTACTGGGAGGAATTAAGATTTTCTTAGTTCTGAGTTACTTTAAACTAAACTAAACACCTGTGCTTTTACAGGAAGGAAGCTGGCAACCCCATGGATCCTGCAGAGGAGCAGGATGGGAGCAGCTGGGCTCGCGCTGCGTGCACAGGAGGAACAGGCCAGCCCAGCGCTGTGGCCAAGGCTCTCACCTGCCTCCATCTGCCACTCCCTAGGACCGGGGCCAGGCCAGGACCACTAAATAAGAGAACTAAAGTCTTGGCAAGCCTCACACACAATGAAACAGACTTGGCAGCATTACTGAGCAGACCCAATAGTGTACCGATGCTCTTGGCAGAGCCCTAAAGTGAGCCCGGTCTGGACGAGGGCCAGCAACTCTCTAGGGGACATGCAGGCCTATGTGTTCAGCTCGGGAAATGACCCAGCTGTGGGTCCCAGGAATCCACAGATGGCGAGTCCCACTGGGAGCTCCCAGTCAGCAGGCTGTGCCTCCGTCACACGCTCCGGGGTTGGGGCTTTCGAGGTGAGCGTGCCCAGGAGTGAGAATCCAGTAGGTAAGAACCAGGGTGCCAAGGGGACAGAGGCCCCACAGGTGGACACAGCTGCTGAGGTAACACAGAGGCCTCCCATTCGTCCCAACAAAGGCCCAGGCTTTCCCATCGGGGCAGGGGTAGCAAGGCTGCCGAGTACCTCTGCTTCGAGAAAGGAAGGAAAACAAACAGGTCGGACAGCCCCTGCAGCAGGCTCTGGCGCCCAAGACACAGCGCACGGGACTGCTGCTGGTCACTGCTGCTGTCAAAACAGGCTCCATGGCTGGCACAGCAGATGGGACAGGGATGAGTGAGCAGGCTCTGCACCTGGCCGTGCCCGGTCAATGACTTGACCACGCCTCAGATTCCTCATAAGGGAAAAGAGGTGTACCTCATCAGACTGCAAGGAGGCACAAAGTAGAAAGTGTTCCCTCTTCCAGAGGTCCCCAATCCCCATGCAGGGGGTGGTGGGAACCAAAGCTGAACTAAGAGACAGCCAGGTGCCTGGGAGTAGGCTGCTGGCTGCCGGACATGGAGAAATGCTGACCTCCAACCACTGCCTGCAGCCCAAAGTCCTTGTGGAAGCGAGCCCAAGCCCCGTGTTTTACTTGACAGTGAGACGAACTCCCCTTTTCTAACATAAATGAACAAACGGCACCACAAGCCAGAGGCTTCCTGCTCAGTCTCGCTCCTGACTTTCCCCAAAAGTGAAACTTTTTTTCCCTGACATTTATAAACCACTCTGAACACACACTGTGCACAGGCTCAAGATGGCTCCAGACCTGCCCAAGGTGCCTGCTCCCTGAACTTGGGTCACACCCAGTCTTGAGTTGCAAACCCTGATACAAAGAAAGCTTCGGTTTTGGGTTTTGGTTGGTTAAAACGTGGTACCTCATGACTAAAGTCAAAAGTTTTCCCCGCTGAGCTCTAGAATATGCAAATGACCCACATACAATGTCTAGAATTGGATGCTAAGTTTCTAATTTAATTCCCCCAGGCCTTGCTCTGCCACCTGTTTGGGATATCTCTTACTGGCCCCCAGGGAAGTGACTCTGTTGGCAACTGCACCTTTTCAAATATGAACCCAAAACCAACCAGTTAATTTAGAGCGCAGAGAGAGCCAGATGGCGGCATACTCAGACCCAACTCCTGACATTCTTCAAAATATTTTGCTTTTTTCACAAAGAATTAAGTTCTGGCCTGGGCACATGAACTTACGATTTCTAACTTCAAATCGATTTCTGAAAAGCCCTTCTGGCCTCTTAATATGCTTCTGTTGAAAGACTTCTTCATCCTCCAGTGAAGTTCTTGCGTAGTGGCCTGTGGCAACAGCATCTGCTCCTGGGAAGTTTTAAAAACACAAGGAAGTGGGCTGGGGCTCAGTGGTGGAGCGCTCACCTAGCATGTGGGAGGCACTGGGTTCCATCCTCAGCACCACATAAAAATTAATACAGTAAAATAACTGTATTAAAAAAAAAATAAAACCACAAGGATGTGTTTTCAAACACATGTGAGACTCAATGTGAGACTCCAATTCACTGGCCTCGGTCAACATGAGCCAAGGTGATGAAAGAAGCCCGCAGACGCGCAGTCCTATGCGGCGGCCTGTGGGGACTGGGCCAAGTGGGCTGCTGATCCAACCTTGCCACACATGATAATATGTCTTCAAGAGCCTCTCAAAAGTGTCAAGCCATTCATTCTAGTTTAAGGAAATAATCCCACATACACAGATTTAAACTCAAAAAGTTCATTTCAGCCGCATAGTGACACACCTGTGACCCCAGCTACTCAGGAAGCTGTGAAAGGACTGCAAGTTCAAGGCCAGTCTCAGTAACTTAGTGACCCTGTCTCAATTAAAAATCTAAAACAGGGCTGGGGGTGTAGCTCATAGTAAAGTGCATCAGTTTCGATCTGCAGCACCTCAAAAACAATCCCCCCGAAAATAACACCTCATTTCAATTCCTTAAAAAGTGTTCAGCACCAGGAGGATGATGCCTCAGCTGTAGTGCAGTGGCACTTACAGATCGAGACAAAGAGAATGCCCATGACACTGTGAAACAGAAGGGTATATGATACTACAACCTGCAATTTCTGAAGAACAGAAAAAGATGAAGCACCACAGGTTTGCTCCCTTCACTGTGGGAGTGAAGTCTGGATAGCACTTCCCCTCTTTCTTCAGTCATCTTAAATTTTCTTTAATAAACATAAGTAATTATTGTCACTGTGATGGACCGTACAACATATTCAATTTCTTCTGTCTACATAATGCAAAAAAAGTCAACAGAAACTACCAAAGTAGACTTTAGTGTTGACCCTTTCACTGTGTGGAAATTCTAACTCTTCAGTATCGCGAGGCTTCATGCCAGGGGGTGCAGTGAACCTGATTCCACCCTGAGTAGCCAGAACACTCCGTGCAAAGCTCAAGGTGACTCAGGAGGCTGAGAGCTGCCTGATGCACATGAACTACTGGGAAAGGACCTTTAGGAACACACATTACATCTTGACTTCATTTTCCAACAGAGGAAAAACCCACTTGGTAAAATAAATAAATAGATAGATAGATAGATTAATTAATTAAATTTAAATAATTCAAACATTAAAAAATAAATAAAAATTTAAAAAAAATAAAAAATTTTTTTAAAAAATTAAATTAAAAAATAAATAAAAATAAATAAATAAATGAAAATAAAAAAATAAAAATCCACTTGGAATCTTGCATCCTTCAAGAACAACCACTTATGCAGCCAAGACCCGCAGGGTTCCTCTGGGAGAAGCCCTAACATGTCAGAAGGCTTCTCGTGTTTCTTCCCCGTTATGCTGTCTGTGCAGTTAATTCAGACATGGAAGTGGGCACTGAAGGAGCTCCTTCCAAAGTAAGCCAAGCAACACACACAGGGCTCTAGAGCACTCTGCCCAGGGAGCTCGCATCCCAGAGGCCAGCACTCCTGTCTGGCTCGCCGTCACACCTGCTCCCAGAGAAACCTCTCTCTGTGAATACCAGCCCTGCTCTCTGAATGCCACACAGGAATACAATCCTCAATCCTCGTGAGCATCCACTTGACCACTGCTGTGGTGACCCGAGTGATCTCAAGAGTTCATCAGAGGACATTTTCACACACACAGGGAATGAAAATCAGCCCACACTCTATCAGCATGTCATTTTTTCTGGATAGCAGGTGGGACCTGACCAGGGCAGACTGTGGAGGCCTCTTCTCCCTGCCCCACCAGCTCAGTCTACACTGGCTTGGACAACAGACTCTGTTGTATTCGTCAACTGGAAGCAACTAAGACCTAGGATCTTCTGCATGTGAGTGGTGACCAAGCCAGCTCTTCCCAGCCTGGTGCCAGGACAGCATGCGAGTGGTGACCAATCCAGCTCTTCCCCGCCTGGTGCCAGGACTGCTCGCTGAGCCTTGTCAGCAAACTGCACCCACATCCACCGCGTGCCAGGCTTTTGGTGAGTCCGGCCTTGAGATTTAGGACTTCTTGGTTTCTCTCTTTGTTGCCTTTTCTTTTAACTCCTAATGCGGCAAGTCAACTTTTCATCACCATCGACTCAGCCTTAGGTCACTGACACCTTGCGTCTGAGTGCTACTTGATCCTCATCCATGTCACTGCTAAAAGTGCTGATGCTACTGAACAGGGGCACACGATTACACCTGCCCTGTTTCGAGGCCATGCAGGCAGGCAGGCAAGCATCAGTGAGGCAGAGCAGACTGAGAACTGCAGAAGATCATGATGGTAACCCTAAGGAAGAGGACAGGAACAGCTAGCTACCAAAAGGACTTCTAAGTGATTCAGCACCAGGAAGTCCCAACAATTGGGACGGGTGTCAAATACACAGACAGAATCAAGAAGGGGAGATTCAGGAACAGAGAAAAATCTGCAGATTCAATGCGCAGGGTAGTCATCAGCTGGCAGCAGGAGTGGGCTTCCAGCATAGATTGGTAAGATGGCTTCAAACCCATAGAAGAACAGGGGCCGAGGACCAGAGTCAGGCAGAACACGGGCCCATCCTCAGGAAAAAGCACAGCCTCCCTTTTGGAAGCAAGAGCAAAGGTCTCAGTAGGACTATGGAGAGGGATGACTAAACCCAAGTTTCCTGAGCCATGAATTTGGGCTCCAGAAGCTCCCCCTAAGTACACTCGCATCTAGAACCAGAGCTGCCTTGAGCAGAACTGAGCTTCAGGTGGGGTTCATGGCCCTAGGAAGGAGGAGACACTGCAACAGGGAGCCATGTAGGATCAGGGCCTGTAAGTTCTGCAGGCCACCTAGTCACAGCTCAGCTGGACCTAGAGACAACTTTATTGGAAAGGCTGGGTATCCTCTATGGGTGGCACTCTCTGCACTGCTTTGGATCCTGGTTTAAAGAGTCTTCCCTGTGCCAGCATGGTGCAATGGCACACAGGTCCCCGGGCACCAGGCCTGGTGCTTTCTTGTGCTCTTCTTTCTGGGCCAAGCTTTTTTTTTAATAGCTTTGTCATCTTCGGCATCTTTCCAAGGTTCAAAGCCTCTGGACACATGTACAGGTTCACCTACTGGCGTTTTTCACAGCCTTTTCTTTCTGATGATACCTCATCAAGGTGGCTGATGATCCACTATCATCAATTATGACTTACAAGAATCTCCTCCTCCCCTGAGGCACTGTCACCTTCCAGCCCTTTGGCCAGGAACCCAATACATCTTTCCTTGGGATGTCAGCAGCCTGTCCTCATGTGTGAGTGGCCCATGGGGAAATACCCTGTCCTCCCATCATGTGCACCTCACCAGAAACCTCCTTCTCACGCAGTGAGATACAGCACAACTCCAGTTTCCCTGCTTCTTTTCCTCCTAGAAAATGAAACTGCTCATAAAGTTTTGGCTTCTGTCTCAGCTCTGAAAAATCTTTCTTTTTTTAAACCAGGGATTGAATCCAGGGGCCTTCAACCACTGAGCCACATCCCCAGCCCTTTTTCATATTTTATTTAGAGACAGGGCCTCGCTAAATTGCTGAGGCTGGCTTTGAACTCACAAACCTCCTGTCTCAGCCTCCCGAGCTGCTGGATTACAGGCATGTACCACTGTGCCTGGCTTAGCTAAGAAAATCTTATAACATATGGAAAAATCCCATATTTCTTACCAAGATTACCCACAGCATAACGGAAAAAGCAGCTGAACTTGATATGCTTGTTGCAGACTATGTCGGGATTAGGAGTCCTTCCTCTTTCATACTCATTCAAAAAATCACTGGAATAAAAGAAAAGCACTTCAGCTCTAAGAGCAAAATAATTCTTAAAAACAAAACAAAACAAAAAACAGCAGACTCAGTAATTTAGTGTGGACTTTGTCCTTGCCCTACCCACACAGGAACTTTCTTCAACAGGGAGCTTTGGTACCAAAACACTTCCTGTGTTTTCATCCAACGTTTTGTTCAGAGCCCCTGCACTTGCCATCTGATGCTGCGACGACTGACAAGCCTAGATGAAGAACAGGTGTGTCCCTGCTGCTGTGGCTCAGGTGCCACCTGCCTCCTGCACAGCCAGGGATGGGGAGACAAGGCGCTGCACTCCTGCTCCCCAGGACTCCTCCAACATAGGACATGTGAGTCACAGCAGGAATGAGATCTTGAGAGTTACAGAACTCGATGCTCGATTCTGCAATCCCAGGCTGGGGACCCAAGTCACTGGACAAATATGCCACGGAAACCTTTCAGAGGACTAGGAAACTCCTGGGTGCTGAAGCGCATCCAGTTGTCCTAATCTGGTGAATTTCCATCTTAACAGACTGCCCAGGCATCACCCACAAGACATGGAAAGAATGCCAGTCTCAGAAGTCACTCCATGCCTATTTCAGAAGTTTATAATAGGGTATATTTTTAGTATGTGTGATAATTTCCCCATTTAACCTAATAGGTTTAAAAAATGATACTTACCAAAAAGGATGCATTATGAAGACAGAGTGACCTACATGGGATCACAGGTCACCTGTGCATCACCAACAGCAGCAGGCAAAGTCTAACTTTTCTACCTGCCCCCTCGGTGTTATAAAACTGATCTGGTTTCAGATTTGTGATAATACTTGATATTATTACACTCTTTCTACTGTTTCTAATCGTTGAAAGTTGTGAAGAAGTTCATTAAATTGTAAATTACCCAGATGCACGTCTCTCTGTATGTTCACAAACCCAATAAACTTCCTATTTCACAGACACTGTTGAAAAAGTTTAACATTTGACCATTTCCTGACAGAGGAGGGAGGCACATCAGGGGCACTAACAAAAGCAATGGAGGGAGGCAGCTCTTCCATGGGAAAGAGACCTCACCCCTGTGCGGACAGGAGGAGAAGGGGATTAAAGAATGATTTACTTAGACCCTCCCAGGCCAAGTGGGTCTTTGAACCAAAGAAATCAGAAGAAATTACTAAGCTTGAGAGTGTTTTCAGAACAAAGCTCAATGAGCACAGTTTTGGCTACCCCAGAGCAGCGAGGCAGAGGGCAGCCTGGCCACTGCTGGAGGGGAGCTCAGAGGTGGGTGCACAGATACTCTCATGGGGCCATGTCAGTCCCTAGTGAGCAGCACCCTAGGGTCAGTGAGGCACCTGGAGATACAGAGGTGCACACTGGCCTGGATAGTGGGGCTTCAATCCCAGCTCTGCTCTCAATCTGCTGCAGTACCCACTACGCCTGTCTGGCCTGTTAGAGGTCAGCTAGCCTGCAAAACCACATGTAGATGCTGTGAAATGCAGCACTGCAGGAAGAAGTTCAGACTCACCTGGGCTTCTTGCCATCACCTGAGACCCCAAGGACTCAGGAACTCCAGTCAGTGTCCAGCCCATGTGGACTTGATCTGAACCCAGCACTGGCTCCTCCTCTCTCTGGCCTCCTCCAGGTGCCATTCATCACACTGCTTCCCAAAGACCCTAAGAACCCCTGGATCAGAACTTACCCAGGTTCCAGTTGTGTTTAGCAAGTGCCCAGTGCTGTGCTGGCCTGCATCTGCTGTCCAATAGACTTGTCCTCTGGGCTCTGAGCAGCCAGCCTTCACTTTCCTCTCCCACATCATGTGTGGGAGATTTTAGGGGCAGTAATTCCTTAGCTGCTCTGCCTCTGGTCTTCCATAATTTATCCTAGACTTGGCTGTGTACTCGCCGAACAATAAAAACGTACTGTGCTAGAACTTTGTATATAATCTCACTTAATACCCCTTGGAGGTATTAGCATTGTCCTTATTTTAACATGAGAAAACTGAGGCTTAGAACAATCAAGTAAATTGCCCAAAGTTGCCCAAGCAGCAGAATCAAGACTGAAGCCCACTGAGGCAAGGGCAACCCACACTGTCCATGTGGCCTGTCTCGGATGCCACTGATGGCTACCTGGCACTGAGCATCATCAGACTTCACCACAGACTAGCCGCAAGGAGGAGCCAAACGTGCAATGCTCCTGAGCCAAGCTGGGCCCCCTCTGTCCCTTCACTGCTGCTTTGGTGCCCACATGGTGTCTTCTCTACTTGGTTGTTTTCAAGCCTCCTCCACGATGCCTTCCTGACCCACTCCACACAGCACACTTCCCTTCTCCCAACCTGGGCACTTTCCGACATGCCACTCCTCACTAAGGACAACATCTCCCAACTGGATTGCAAAGTCCCATACAACAAGGCCTGGTATACAACGTTCCCAGAGGTAGCACAGTCCTGAGTATGCAGTAAGCAATCACCGCTGGGACTGTATTAGATTTTATAAAGCTTCTGTCTTTTCTTTCCTGTTTCCAAAAGGCACAGGGCAGTCTGTCACATGACTCTTCTCTGAGCCTCCCAACTACTGGGCTGTCAGGACACATGACAGCACCTTCCAGGACGAGCTCAGCCTTCCCCTCATCCCAACTCAGCAGCAGAAACATGCCAAGGTTCACACAGGCTTTAAAGAGACTTCTGGCAGGTGGCAAAATAACAAGAACAAGAGCAGCAGGGGTACAGAGGTCCCCAAGGCCAACTGAGGGCTCCCACAGTCTGCAGCATCATGGCTAATGTGGGTCCTGCACTGCACACCCTTGTGTCTGGCCGACAGTGGCAGAGGATCCACAGGGAGTGGGAAGACTCCTGTGTGCTACACGCTGAACTCACCTGAACACTTCATTCCAATACTCCTTCACATAGGACACCTGGTGGAAAGGGATGTCTAAGACCTGGCAGACCCTGTAAGCATCCTCGCAGTCCCGGTCAGCAGCGCACACGCCATGTTCATCCAGTGAGTCCCAGTTTTTCATGAACACCCCTGTCACCTGGTAACCTGGGCGAGGGAAGAAGGTCACTTGGAGAATGTACAGATCAACCTTGGATAAAAAAGCTCCCAGCACAATGTGGCCCGAGCTGTCTGGGCTTCCCATGAGGACTTGGGTTTACTCCAACGCTCACTCACTTTGTAAAAGCCCCTCATCACAACACATTAGGGACTAAGACTGGCTGCCCGAGTGCTCAGGTGCTCAAGATGGGATTTTCTCTTTATCTTTGTCTCCACCCATGTAGAGGCATGGCACCTAGCTCATAGGAGGGACTTAGCAAATTTGTGCTCAAGGATCCAAAGGTCATGTAGCACTCAAATTTTTCACTCCAAATATAAACTGCCATTCAGTTATTGGAAAACTAAGCTCATTTCAAAAGTTATTTCCAGCTGCTAAGTAAGGCTTAAATTCTAAGTTACCAGATAAGTACAAGTAAAATTTTGGATATTTTATGTATCCAAAATATATGCCTTTATATAAGGCATAGCTTAATGATAGAACTCATGCTTAGCATGCATGAGGCCTGAATTCAATCCCCAGCACCAAAAACTAAACTAAACTAAATAAATAACCTGGGCATTTTATTATAAGGGTTTTACTACCTATATACCTTATGCCAAATATCAGAAAGGTTGACATTAGCCTCACACCATCTTAGTAACTATCCAGCTGCCTACCCTGTATTGAGCAATGTTTCTTTTGAAAGGCTGAATATAAGGAAAGACAGGGTATTTGTGTTAAAAAAGGCTTAAGATAGTATCCCTGTTTTAGCTTTTTCTTTGCTGTAACCAAAAGACTTAACAAGAACAATTGATGGAGGAAAACTTTAATTGGGGGCTCATGGTTTCAGAGGTCTCAGTCCATAGATAGTTGACTCCATTGCTCTGGGCTAAAGGTGAGGCGGAATATCATGGCAGAGGGGACATGGCCACCAAGAAGCAGAGAGGCTCTCCTCACCATGGACAAAATATAAACCCCAAAGGCATGCGCCCAATGACCACCTCCTCCAGCCACACCCCACCTGCCTGCTATAAGAGCTTAATGCACTGATTAGGTTAAGGCTCTCATAACCCAATCACTTCATCTCTAATCTTCTTTCCATTGTTTCACACGTGAGCTTTTGGGGACACTCCTATCTAAAATCTAACCTCCCAAACCAGGGGTCTGTTGACACATCCTTGCCAAAGTGAAAATGCACGCCCACAAGGCCCTCACTCTGCATCCAGAAGCATGATGCAACTTCCATCACAGAATTTGCCACCCTGGGCCCAGCTGTTAGTTCTCTTGCCACTCACCAAAACAGGGAGCTCAAGGAAGAGACTGCCTAGTTCAAGCCTGTGTCCCCGGCTCTAGTACAATGCCTGGCACATAATGGGAGCTGAAAAGGATAAATAAACTACACGGAGCTTTAAACTCCACTCCACCTGTGGCCTCATCTGCCTGCTCGACCCACTCACACTGGAGGATGGGCCCCCCTGACTTTCCAGGGCACACACAACAGGATAAACACTGAAAATCCTCAATACCAAAATGAGAGGACCATTGTTTTTCTCAACATCCACCAGCCCCCTCCACGCAGGAAAATCCAAGGCTAGAAGGTGCAGATGCCCGGTCTAGACACAGAGGGTTCATCTTTTTGAAGTAGTTGGATCTGGGCAATCACCCCAGTTTTCCACATCCGCTCAAACACCTAGTCCTGCTCCTCCTTGGAAACCCTCAAGAACTCTGAATTGCCTCCTCAGCTTGGCCTAACGTCCCCAGTAAGTGTAACAACTTCCATGATCTTCCAAGATCAGGGCTCAACGCTCCCGCCCTCCTCTGGCCAGACCAAGCCAGCACTTTGCCCATCTGTGCTTCTGCGGGGCAGCTAAGTGCCCAGGCCTGCAGTTCTCTGCGGAGTGAAAAGCCACTCCTCTTCCCTCTCAGTTCAGTGGTCCACCTGTAAGGCGCCTGCCTTGGTTCCCGTGAAGGGCAAGCCTTCCTTCCCTGCAGCGCGACTGCTGACCTCCAGGACCTCGCATGTGCTGGGCTGTCCCAGTCCCCGGGTTCCACCGTCCAGGAGCTTCGCACGCACCTCCGCATTCCCAGTGCCGACGCCGGAGGGGCTCGCAGCGAGCCGCGCCAGCGCGTCCGAGCAAGGCCCCGCCGAGGACCCCCAGCACCTGCCCGGCTCGCGCGGAGGCCGGGAGAGGACGCAGGCGCGTCCGGCCGGGTGGACGCCGCACCAGGCCTCCAGAGCGGCCGCCGTCCGCCGCCGACCCGCGCGGGCTTGCTGACCCGAGGCGACCCCGTCCCGCTGCCCCGGGCGTCCCCGGCCGCAGGGCGCACGGCCACCTCACCTCTCCGCCTCAGCAGCAGCGCGGCCACCGCGCTGTCCACGCCGCCGGACAGGGCGCACACGACGTGCCGCGCCGCCAGCATCAGCCCGTCACCCAACTGCCGCCCGCAGCCCGGGCAGCCGCCGCGCCGGAAGCCGCCCCAGGCCACTGCGTTGGCGTTGGCGTTCGCGGCCCGGTCGGAAACGCGCGCTCGGCGCCTGGCGTTCCGCCCTTCCGCGGCTCCGCGCCCGGCGTCTTGGTGCGCCGCACGGACCCTGAGGACCTGGAGTTCTGTACGCACGGCTCGTTGCGAGCGGCGCGGTCCTCGGGATGCGCTCGCGCTGCCTCGTGGGCGCCCGCCGGCCAGGAAGGAGGCCATGGACAGGACCAGGCGAGCTAGTGAGGCCTTGCAGATGGAGGGAACCTGCAGTCCTTGCCCGTGGAACCGCGCAGGTGAAAGGGTGGACCGTCCTCTGCAGTTGCAGCCGCCTGCGGGGGCACGCGGTGCTGGGGCTTCCAGGAGCTGCCCCGCGGAGCTCAAATGCCCGTGGCACGGCGCTCAGGTGGGATCTGGTTTGACGTCAGAGGCTACTCCTGCAGATGCAGAGTACTGGCGTTCTTGACACCAGCGACTCGGCTTTTCCAGCCTGAGTCCACATTGACACTTCACGGAGGCCAAGAACACACAGATACTACGCGGACAACTAAGGGTAAGGAAGGCTTCTCAGAATGCCTTAGAATGTCAGGTACTGTGATTTTATTTTCTAAGAATTGCTAGTGTAAACCGGTCGCGGTGGCGCATGCCTCTAATTCCAGCAGCTCGAGAAGCTGAGGCAGGAGGATTGCGAGTTAAAAGCCAGCCTCTGCAAAAGCGAGGCGCTAAACAACTCAGTGCTTACCAAAAAAAAAAAAAAAAAAAAGGACTAGGGAAGTGGCTCAGTGGTCGAGTGCCCTTGAGTTCAATCCTGGCACCCTGGTACCCGCGGCCCCCAAGAAAAGAATTGCTTGTGTAAGCCACTAAATTGATTTGTATAGGATTTGAACCGTGGTTACGCAAATGCAGGGGAGATAATGCACGTAGGTCTTTGTTTTGGGTTTTTGTTTTCTTTTCTGTTTTGTGTTGGTGCTGGGGATTAAACTCAGGGGTGCTCAACAGCCCCAGCCCTTTTTCTTCTTTTTTGAGATAGTCGTTGATAAGTCTGGCATGGAGTTTCTGATCCTCCTGCCTCAGCTTCCCCAGTTGCTAGATTATAGATGTGAGCCACTGTGCCCAGCAACGCCAGTCGTGTTACATCTGATCAATAACAAACATACCAAAAGTTGGCAATGAAATTCTGTTTTTCTTAAAAGCCCAATAAAGGACACAAATGCTTAAATGTGGCTTCTTACTAACTAGAGTTGATAGCTTTCCTGAGAGAATAGTTTTAGGGATGAGGGTAGGTGAGGGAGGTTCTGAAAACCCATTCCCAAGAAGAGTCTGAAGAGTCATAGCACTGGTGCCAGGAGGTGCCAGGAGATGCAGGGTGAGCACAAGACAGGAGGGAAAACAAAAACCTGGGTCACATGGGCAGCAGTTTGATCCTGCACTTCCCAGGGATGCGGAAAGCCATTATCTGACCCTGACCTTGGGCAGACTGAGGGGCACAGAGTGAGGCCGTGGTCGTGCTGGCATCATTAGTTTGGTCTCTGTCTAGAGGACCAGGATACCCCTTATTGGGGAGTGGCAGCTTGGTAAGTTAATGGTAGGCAACTCCCAGTTTTTCTGCCTAAGCCAAAAGGGCTTTCAGCTTCAGCATGCTGCTGAAACGTGGTGCCCTTGAGACTCTGCCGTCACACACTGTATATTCACTACTTTGTACTGTAGCAGTACCCCACGTGCTACCTGGGGACAGCAGTGTGTGGTATGTGGATTTCAGAGATGGAAATGAGACCTGTGTTCCACAAAATTAGTGAAATAAAGATCTCAGGAGTTGGACCTCCTGAAGCTGAAGCCCTTGGCACCTCCCTGAGTGCCTAGTGCTTAGTCTTCAACTGATGTCGAGTGCCTTCTCTGGGGCGGAGGCTGAGGCTGACCAGGGGACACTGGGGTGGCCCCAGTTACTCACTTTCTGTCAGCTGTGCAGCCACTAGGCAAAATCTTCATGGAACTAGATGTGCACAAATCAGTGACTTCAGCTAGTCATCAGAACAGGAGAGCCAGTGAGGCCATCAGGTGGAGGGAACCTGCAGTCCTTGCCCGTGGAACCGCGCAGGTAAAGGGTGGGCCGTCAGCAGCAGCAGCCCGAGGGGCACACGGTGCTGGGGCTTCCGGGAGCTGCAGTGCGGGCTCAGGTGCCCTGGTGCCCTTGGTAAGAGCAGGCTGGGGGTCCGCCCCAGCACCCGGCCTGGAGGCCTCAGCCAGCAGGGTCCACTGCCTTCACATTCAGGTGCCCACTACAGCGCGGGTTCCCAGTCTGTCCAGACCAGGCACCTGTGAAGACGAGGCTGGCTCTGCATTTATACCAATTTTTATTCATGATAAATTTTGTAGATTTCTTTTATAAAAGCATTAAAGTCTGGACAATCCAGATTTTACAGTGACTGGAGTAATGAAATAGCTACACATTTGAAAATCAAGGTAACCTTTAATACATATAATTTTTCATACAAACTTTTGACTTTTAAAATAGTGGCTTGCTATTTTACAAAAAAAGTTCAATAAAAATCCTTAATTTAGATGTTATACCATAGTCTAGTGGGAACAGGGAGGAGGGAGCTGTGGAAGAGACCCAGGCCACACTCCACAGCCCTGGTCCCTTACCCTGCCCGCTGCAGTGAGTGTACTTTGGGTTTTTAAAAAAATTGTCTTAAGTCAAATGCAATTTCTTCTAAAACTTGTTTCAAAAGCCACTTCACGACTGTTCTTTCAACAAAGACTAAAGGCAAGGACCTTGCTGTATCAGAACTTGAGAAGCGGTGAGTCCACATTCTCCTTGTCAGCCTCAGGGCTCAGCTGGACCAGAGGGGAGCCCAGGTCGATCAGCTGGAAGGGCAGAGACAACAAGGTGAGCGGAGCTGCCCTGGGCAGGCCAACAACTCAGCCCCCTGGATCACCCGGTTCAGGTCCACTTAAAGGAAACCTCGACCATCACATCTAAGCCCACACACACTGACCCCAGGCCCTCACATACTCATGCTTCTTCCCAGCTCCGCACACCAGGGGGGTGTGGAGTTGGGAACATGACCCCTGCCCCCAAGGCCTGGCAGGAGTTCACCACTCAGCATCAGAGGGTGAACTTCAAGAAGCTCAGGCCAAGCAAGAAGCCTCAGGGCCACCATGCCATGCCCTGGGGCGAGGAACCAAACCAGGCTGAAGCCAGCAGGAATCACCTGCCACTTCTCACCTGTCCCTCGGCCTGCAAAGGTTTTGACACACTGTTTTTTGACACGCTGTTTCTGTTCACATCTGGAGTGTTCGTGGTGAGGTCGATCAGGGGTCTGCTTGCAGATCCCAAAGCCACATCTGCTTCAGGAGGGCTGCAGAAGTCGATGAGGGGGAGATCTGCCGGGGGCCTGCTTCCCACTTGAGGAGTGATGGTGAGCTGACCCAGCCCGATGTCTATGAGAAGAGCCTAGGCAGGACAGACGGAAGGTGGTCCAGCACTGTTCTGCCCTGCTCATGTCCCGAGGGTCCACAGCTGGAGCCAAAGAAAGAGGCTGGGCCTGCCGCAGCAGGGTGCACCAGTCCACCCACCTCGCACACAGGACTGCCCTGCTCCCACTTCCTGTCCTTTGGCTCTGATCAGCTCCGCGGCCAAACACAGGTGAGAGGTGTTGCTTTTCTCCCCTTTACAGCCCCGAGGTTCTGACCACCCCTCTTGGGCCCACTGGAACCCGAGGCCAGGTGGCAGGATGAACTGCAGGACTCTGTCCTTGGGGTGAGTGGCCTCCAGAGTGGCCCTGTGACCCTCCGAGTCAACCACCCCTGCATCTGCGTACCTCCCCAGGGCAGGTGTCTTCCCCCGGCTTGGCCTCAACCTGTGCTGCTCCTGTGAAGTCTCCTGAGAAAGGAGACTCATTCTTCTCCGGAGAAAAATGAAGTGCCTGAGGCACAGAGGGTGGAGGAGAAGGGCTGCCACTGGGTGACAGGCTGGCCAGCCTGCCACCAGCCCTGCCGCTGCTCGCTCCCCTCGCCTCAGTCCTGTGGGAGCAGAGGAAAACAGGCTGGATCTCTCTAGAATGCTCACTCACCTGGCTAGATCTGGAGGCAGACCGCTTCTGGAGGAGTGTCCTGTGTTGGGGAGCGGCTGGCCCTGGTGCCAGCTTGTCAGAGAAAGCCACCTACCGCGGGGACAGCTGCCCCTTCAGACCCCGTTTCCTGTGTAGAAGACTGGGGATTTCCAAGGTTCCTTTCAGCTGGAACATTCTACTTGTGGATTTCACCTGGTGCCTAGTCTGTCCCTCTCAGAAGTGAAGGCTGCATGCAGGGGTTCTGCCCGTCCCCATGAGGCAGCCAAGGTGACCTCCCTGTTCCTAGACCCAGTCCCTCAGGCTCGGGAGGGCTGCTGCCTGCTCCACTGGCGCAGATACCCGCTTGCACTGCGTTCCCCAGCTGGGTCCCAGCCAGGCACAGGCCTGGCACTGGGCTTCCACCCTGTAACAGGCCCCGCCACTGGGCACGTCTCTTTGTGCCTCCACTAGACAGTGGCCTCAGCACCAGGCTGGGTGCACTGGGCCAGCAGCCCCCATACCTGATTCAAATCTGAAGCTGAATGGTCTGGGGGAACTGAGGAAAGCAGATGTCCACAAATGAGCACAGTGTGTCTTCTTTCATAGGCAAAGGCTCAGGACACTCCGAGGACAAGTTTCCTATACTCTGCAGTCACTTTACCACTGGGCCCTCCTCTCTTTGGGGCAGCCCATCTTCTTCCAGACTGCTTCCTGAGTGACCACACCCTCCCTGGCAAGGGGACAGTCTTGAGGTCTGGGCCACTAGAGACGACCTTGCTTGTCACCTGTCTCACCTCACAGCAGATCTCCTCTGAGGCTCAGAAGAGAGTCTCCGAGCAGGTGCACAGAGCGGGGAAGCCAGAGCTCGGGGCAAGGTTTTGGGAGTCATCAGAGGAAGGCCAGAGAGGCGCCAGCCGCCAGGTGTGGGCAGTGCTGACACCCGTCGCGCACTCGTGGGCGTCCCTCTGCTGCTCAACAGGCTTTGTGAAGTTGGCCCTGATGAACGTCTTGCAGGAGTGCTGTGAGCAATGGCCCTGGTGAAGACAAAGAAGAGCCCTGAGCAGAGACGGCCTCGACAGACTGGAATCCAATGAGCCAGCGTGCTGACGCAGAGCAAGTCCACGGTTTCAACAGGCGCCAGACCCCAAGCTGCTGCCAGGCCACCACGAGACCTCTGGTGGGTAGAGCTCCCCCCACCCACAGGCAAGGAAGAGAGAATCTCGTCAGATGTGGCTGTACTTCACAGGGGTAGGAAAACACATGGAAGTCAAAAGAATCTCAGCGGTCACTTTTTTAAATATATTTTTTAGTTGTGGATGGATACAATACCTTGTTTTCTTTATTTATTTATATGTGGTGCTGAGGATCAAAGCCAGTGCCTCAGGCATGCTAGGGGAGCGCTGTCCCACTGAGCCACAGCCCCAGTCCCTCAGCAGTCACTTTTGACAGCTTGGATCATCTCCACAGGAAGTTCAGACTCACTGGAGCCTGGCCACACAGGTGAACGCACAGGCAGGTCTCACTGCGTGCCACAGTCAAAGGGGCACATGGGGAGTAGAATCAGAGAACTGGTGCTTGGTTCTATGCCAGTCTCTGCACTCTGATAACCCACTAACTATTGGTTGGTCCTCTCGCTGAGTCGATTGTTACTGGCTGTGGTCTGAAGGTATGTGCCTACCACAAATTCCTATGTTGAAACCCTAGCTCAAGTGGCAGCACTAGCAGATGAGCCTTGGGGAGTGACGGGCCAGTGGGAGCAGCCCTTGTGAGCGGAATCAATGTTCCCATGAAGGAGGCCACCCTCCCACAAGCAGACCTGGCGGGGGGGAGTGCCACAGCCAAGCAAGCTCTCACCAGACCCCACGTCTGCTGGGGCCTTGACTTAGAGTTTCCAGCCTCCAGAACAGTGAACAATAACTTCCTATTGTTAAAGTCCCTCAGACTGTGGTATTTTTGTTATAGGAGCCCCCAAAGTGCAAGACATTATTTCAAAATAACGCCAGGACATACTAGAAATGTCCCTGGAGTGTGGGGAGACTTCATCTATTGGTTCTATCATCCTTTAAAGACAATGTTTATACTCTTCAAAGAGTCTAAAGCCAGGCATAGTGGCTCATGCCTGTAATCCCAGTGATTCCAAAGGCTGAGGAAGGAGGAACACAAGTTCAAGGCCAGCCTGGGCAACTTAGCAAGGACTTGTCTCAAAACAAAAATTAAAAAGAGCTGGGGATGGGGCTGGGATTGTGGCTCAGCGGTAGAGTGCTCGCCTAGCACAGGCGGGACCTGGGTTCAATCCTCAGTACCACATAAAAATAAAGGCATTGTGTTGTGTCCATCTACACCTAGGAAATAAATATTTAAAAAAAAAGCTGGGGATGTAGGTAGGTGGCTGCCTAGCAGTGCAAGGCCTTGGGCTCCATCCCTGTAACACACACAGTCTAGAAGCAGACACATTCGGCAGGTCAGGGTGGCTCTCAAGCCAAGCTCCTGCCCTCTGCCAGGTTCTGGAACAGCCCCCAGCCCTCCACTGCTGCCATTGCCAGCTCTACCAGGGACTCCTGAGGACAGGAACAAGTGCCAACAGACGCATCCTGGAGGCAAGCCCAGGAGGCAGGGCTCTCCTCCCACCCCAGAGTGGCTGCTGGCCTCTGCGCTTGCTCTTGCACTCTGCGGGTGGGAGGGCCCAGCACAGCCTCTGTTACAGGGAAATCCTCTGTCTACCCCGCAGAGTGCAGATCATCAAGGGATTTGCGGACAGCCAGGCTGGTCCATGGCAGAGCCAGAAGTGCCCTTCTTGTGTATCCCAGCCCAGGGCCTACTCTGCCCAGCCCAGCCTTCGAAGTCCAGAGCAGTGTCCCCGCCCTGGCCACAGGCAGACGCCAGCATCATGTTCCCGGGGGCACAAACCCAGTGGGCTGCAGCCTTGTGGTGCCCCCACCCCCGTCCAGGGAGAGATGGTGAGCTGTAGGCAGGGCTGAGAAGCTTGGGTGTGGGGTCTCCACTCCACCAGAGCACTCAGGAGTCGTGCCAGCACCCAACCTCAGCGAGTGACAGCAACGGGAGCAACAGAAGGCAGCTGGGGTGGGGCTGTGTTTGCAACTCCTGAGGGCCTGGTGTCCTGCTCTCCGTGTGCCTAGTCTGCAGGCTGGCTGGGTTGGCTGGACCGTCCTCCAGCCAGTGAGAAAGTGCGGTCAGGAACATTCAGTGGCTTGCACCAGGTTCCAAACCCTGAGCCTTGAATAGCTGTACCATGCTGGTGGCCTTTAACTGTGGCACAAAGGAGTCACCTGGGAGCCTTTACAACACCCAGCCCCACCAAATCAGAAGGGGATCCTGTTGTTCAGCACAACAACCCCTTCAGCCCAGAGCTGGGAACCGCCAAATCACACTGCACAGAAGCAGTCCTATCCAGCGGGAGCTTAGCGGGTCAGCCTGCACTCCACGTCTGCTGTGACGCTGACATGGCCGTGGGGCAGCCGCACTGTGAGCCTCAGCCACACATATGTAAGAAAAGAAAGCAGAGCGAGGCCAGTACCTGCCAGTGGAGATGCATGACTGCAGCCGCTGTGCCTGGGAGGACCTCGGCGTCCTGCTGTCTGGGGAGCCTCCTACGACCAGAGAAGAGTGCACGAGAGTCAGAATGACCAGCTGGGAAGCCACCACACGAGGGTCCTTGCCAACAGGCAGTTCTCCTCCACCTAGCTCTAATTTCTCAACCTGTAGCACAGGTGGCCCTAGGATGGTGGACCGAGGGTCAGATGAGTCACACAGGGAAACTGCCAGCAGTGAGGTCACGTGAGGGCACTTTCCTCTACACCAACCTCAGCCAATGCCAGGGCCTTCACCTGCCAACGGTGCAGAGGAGAACCAGCCTCCTCGGGCTTCACCCTCTACCAGATAGGAACAGGACTCTGAGGGCGGCTCAGCCCACCGCCTCTGCCAGGCCACGACTCCCTGCACTGGTAGAAACGTGGGTGGAGGCCAGGCAAACCCAGCAAGGCCCTACATACCTTAATTTTCCTGAGCTGTGGCATCGCTGGGATAATTACATGTCACATCATCTATGTGCTGTTGCACAGTTGCGGGAAACAGCGGGTCAAAGGAAAAGGGTTCCTGCCACTGTGGCCTCATCTCAGGCAGGTGATGGTAGCCTCTGCTATTGCCTGGGCCCCTGCCCTTGCCCAGGGGGGATCTTCTGGAAGTCAGCTTAATCCCTGCCTAAACCCCTCTGCACTGAGACTGAACCCTGGGGTCACAAACTCTTCCTGAGTTAGCCTGAGCGACCTCTCTGCTTGGTCTCTTTCATTTGTCCCCTGTGCATCAACCTGAGGGAGGTTGCTGGCTGCTGTTCAATAAGCACTCTCCTCCTCACATTCAGAAATTTTAGCTGGGCACACAATGAAAACATGGACTCTTCACATCCTTTGCAGGAAGTGTGGTCATGTGACTAAGTCCTGATCAATGGGACATAAATGGAAATGACAGACAACCTGCAGTAAGTACTGTATCCTTGAAAGATAGGGAGGGGTATGTTCTTCACCTAGGATATCTTCCCACTAGCAGGTGTGAGGGCTGGAGCTCGTACAGCCATACTGGACCATGAGGAGGAGAAGCTAATCATGGCAAAACAAGATGGAAGAGGCCTGAGTCCCTCAACAGAACAGCTCATTCTCATACACAGGCTCAAAATGAGGTGTCGGGAGTTGAGGGCACCTGTACTGACTAGCAGTGCCAGTAACTTCAAAGTATCTGTGAAAGCTGGCAGGATCAAAATGGGGTCGCTTGTGCAACCCTAACAAAAAACAATCAAGTCCAGTCCCTGAGGCTGCCAAGGAAGGGCTCACATGTACCTGAGAGCACGACCACAGGACCCTGCAGGCCGCCAGACCAGGGGCCACGCAACCTCCCACCAAGAGCTCAGCTGCAAGGACACTGCAGGCTCCTCCACCCTTGGGACTGAGGACCACTGCTTCAAAAGGCCCGCTGGGTGCTCCTAAATAGAACAAAGGGGGCCTGGCCTCCTTGATGTGCCCGTAGCCCAGCAGGGCATGCGTGTCCCACTGCAGTGCCTGTCACTCCCAGATCACCCTCATGCTCTGGGGAGCCTCTCACTGTCCGGTAGGGGGACAGTTCTGGTGTCCAGAAGGGGACCTGAAGCTGACACACTTTTAGAGGGGACTGGGGAGCCCGGCAGGCAGCCCCCTGCCCTCCTGCCTGCTAAACCCTCTCTCAGCAGGCCCTCGTCCTGGTGGCAGCTCCCTGTGGACTTCACTCGGGATCAGGATTGGAGCAGCTGCTTACACACAGGACTCGCGCCCTCTGCGGGCTCCAGCAGGCGGTCTCTTCTCGAGAGCCCTCCCTGCGGAACACTGTCGTGTGAGCACATTTCCACAGACCTCTCACTGCGAGGACTTCACATTTCTTCTGTTAATTCTCTCTGTGATGCACACCAAGTACACTGTTTTCTTTATCTGCAGGCCTAGTTTGAAATTTCCTGTGAGCACCTATATTCTGGCTTACCTGGGCCTGGCCTTGTGTGTCTCTAAATAACGTGACTCTACTCTTTTCCCATTTCTGAAAAAAACTTTTTTTAATGTACGCATGTATTTACTCATTTATTTTTAAGTGGTGCTGAGGATTGAACCCAGGGCTTCGATGTGCTAGGCGAGCGCTCTACCGCTGAGCCACTGAAAACTTTCTGGGAGCAAAAACAACAATTTAAATGGAGGGCCCAGGACTGCCACTTAAAAGCCACAAGGATGGCTGTCACCATCTTCATCCAAGACAAAGAAAGTCTCCTGCAGGAAGTCTGTCACAGACAGCCCTGATGGCCACCAGAGTGCCTGCCAGTCTCCGTGACCAGGGCAGAGCAGCCTCAGGTCCAGGCACTCTGCCTTGTGAGTTAAACAAGAGCCCCGCCCTGACGTGGGCGGCCTGTACCTGGCCTTCTTTGACCCAGCTCCCGGGGTTTCCTCTGTTCTTGGAGACTGGTAGGAAACAAAAGGAGACTAAGGTGCAAAGACGGTTCCCCAGCCAGCTGCATTAGGACACATTCTCAGCATGGGGTTTGTTCTATCCATTGCTGAGCTGCAGATGCAAGCTCCACACCTTGGGAGGCTTCTGACCTCTAGATCTTAGCTTTGCCTATTCTGAATCTGCTGACTTTTTCACTGATATCACAATAAAGACAAACTGAAATGAAGCCAGGACAAAGCCTGCTTAGCAGTTTTCTTAAAATATTTCAGCTGAGCTAGCAAGACAAAACTAAAACAAAACAGAACAAATCTTCAAATCAATGGTTTTGTCATTTGTGGCAGCTCTGTGGC